ATTTTAAGCTAAACAGCATATGGCTTATAGCTTTGTACAAGCAATTGTATACAATTCATACATTTTCTGGAATTAAAAAGCCTTGGAAACACGATGACAATTTTCAAAACTACAGGTTTATTCTTAAAACTAGGAGATCTGTGAGGTCTATTCTTCATTTTTACAGAGTTTTACAAGTGATCCAAAAGAGTTGCTCAGGGCATCACAATTTCCTGGCTGCAAAACAACAGAAACAACATAAATGGATATTTAGATGTTTTATTCCCACATGTATTCAATGTTTTTGTGGTCTTTAGATGGAAGGTTATTACTGGAGTGTAAGGTATTAATTACTGTTATCAGCATCTAAGACGTCTCTTGCTGAAGATTTAAATCAGCTTCCTCTGGAAACATAGGAAATAGGATTTAAAAGGCCTCCTGCATCAAGTTCAAACCCCAGCTTTTGCTGTCAACTGCACATCACACAATTGGTTTCATGAAGTGCTCAAGTTTCATGCTGTAACCAGTGAAGTTTCTTGCTTCCCCTGCTTCTGTTGGAGGGCTGCTCCAGGATATCATTCCGGTGCTTCCTCCTCATTTCCTGCTGGAGTTTGTTCATGGCCATTTTATAACCATTTGTTCTTATGTCAACACCATTCTTTAAATAGCTCTTCTCCCTCTTTGTATATTTATAGAAAACAGTTATGTTCCCTTTCAGCCTTTGTTTTGTCTGTGTAAACAAGTAAGACACTTTTAATTTTCCATGTTAGATAGTCCTTCCTCCTCCTACCAGTGCACTTTTTTGGTTCTTGTCCCAGTTTGAAACAACTGTGTTGCACATAGATGCAATAAAATGGGTGGCCCAAGTTGTCCACTCCCTGCCTGCATGCTGTCAGAGAAATATCATCCAATGAAAATTAGGCAAAAACCCCACCACTTCCCTTCCCACTCTCCCTTGTTAAACCTTTTAATTAATTAATTAATTAATTAATTAATTTATGTATATAGGCACAATGTATCACCTTTTATTAGCAAGGAGAGTGACCCAAAATTTTTAAGTACCCAACTTCTACCTCTTCTTTCAGCCAGCTGCTGAAGCAAGTCTACCCACCCAAACTGTGTGCCTAAACCCACTGCTTCATTATTTGTTTTCTGAGATGTACCGTCTTGGGGCTATACTCTCAGATTTCACCTTGTCACATCCCATTCATTTTCTTCCCTTTTCTCTGCTTGCACTACAAGATACTATTGGTATTTTTTCCTAGCTTTGTGTAATCAGAAAATTTCACTTGCATATACTCCCTTTGCTGCAGTGCGGGTGCTAATGAAAATAGGACCTTACAAAAGGATTAATAATAAAAGCAGTATGTGTAGGACCTGATTACTGATCTCTGTCTATCCTAGTAGATCTATTTTCAGTACAACCTGCAGTCACCTCTTCTCCAATCAATTCCCCTCAGTTCTTCCAACTGATCTCCTCTTTCTCCAGTTTAAATAATACCCCTCCCCCTTCAATCATAATAATATGATTTATGGATACCAGAGGAGCGTGATCTATTGCATTTCCTCTCTTTAGAAAAACCTGATTATTTATGACATGATCCATTTTTGGAAAAATCTGACGTGTTTCAACACATCTCTTGTTTCCTTCAAAATTAAATTTAAAACCTGGCATGCAATGAGAGCACATTATGAATCTGAATAAATGCTGCAACCATTGTGTATTTGGTACTATAATGGGTTAATTGTTGCAGTGCAGGAGGCTGATAGGGAGCCACAAGAAGGTGCATGCCTTAATGAGGAGATGGTAAGGAGCCCTGGGGCATGGAATAGTGGCTAATATGAAGGAGAAAACAGTAGGATAGAAAGCTGAGTAACCCGAATAAAGATACATTTGCTGTTGTTTATGTTGCAATTACTGTCTTGCATTATCACTGACAAAACTTAAAAACACTAAAGTAAGTCAATGAGGTGGATGTGGAATATTTCTGTTCCAGACAAAGTTTTCTATGTTTTATTGTTTCACTAGTACTCCCTACTCAAAACAACAAGCTACCAGTTAAACTGAAAACTGGAGAGCACTACTTTGATGAGTGGACATACTGTTGTTATAGTCAATACTTTTGATTGCTGGGGAGGAATTCTGTTTCCAGTCTGCATTTTTGCAAAGGAGGAATTTTTGAATGATATCAAGTTCCATTATCTGTCTAAAGGCAGTCCAGAAAATATTGGAAGTGAGTAACTTTAAAGGAGTAACATGGATCAGAATAGTTCTTCTTCAAATGCATACTATGCAATGACACTCATCCACTTTGTGACACTTTGTTCAGATTTTCAGGCAAAACTACCACCAGTTACAGTTTAGGATAGGTCAGAAATACATGGAGCATTAACTTTGCCTTCATATTTTGGATTAAATAATTTCTTTCTTTCTTGGAGGCTGGCTGGCAGAGGTAATGGAACCTTGAGAGACACGAGGATCAAAATCAAAGAAAAGTTGTTCAAATTCCAGCAAATGTTTAACTTCATGTCTATAATGGTCAATCAGCCTTATACTATCTCTACCACTTTATCCACTAATTAAATACCTTTGAGTCATATTTCTCCAATAATAATAATAAAAAAAATCCTCTTTTTACAGCTGGTGCACAAGTAGTGGGGTTTATTATACGTACTTTCTCCAAATGTAACAGCACAGGGTATCTGGTCTTCACAAATTGCTAGTTGCTAGACATGTTTTTTTAGGATTAATTAATTGTAGAAATAAATCAATATAGCTTTAAATGGAACTGGGATCAAAGTCAGACTTACTGAATATTGATAATCATCTAGGTAAACACTGGAGGTATCTTCCAAGTCAAATAATAAGATTGTCAAAAGCATGTTTCTATAAAACAAAGGTAAATATATAGTCTTTAATAAAACCTCTGTAGAGCACCACAGAAACAATGAACAGAATCAAAGTAAAAGAGAGTTTACCTAAACATCAGCTAAAACTTGTTCTTTACCATAATTTTATTATCATTTCATTATAATGGATCTTCTTCCACACTCCTTACATGTTTCCTCTTCATTCTCCAGCCTTCTACATCCTCCTTACTCTCCTCACAGTAGAAATTGCCATACAGGGTCAGACAATAAGTCTCTGTGGTCTAACATTCAATCTCTCTGAAAGAGCCAGTGTATCAAGTCTCCTCCTTGTCTTTAACAGAGGCTGACCTAAAGCATGAAGCTTGCCATTAGTATCCCTCTTACAAAATAGGTAACTGCAAGTATTTTGTACTGACTGTATCTTACAAAGTACTTGGCCTCAGTGACACACAAGGGCAATTATTACCATGAGCTAATTATATACTGTGAGCGGAGAGGGTGAATATTTCTTTTTTTTTTTTTCATGAGTTTCCAAAGATCAGCTTTTACTTTCAGGCAGTATTTCCTTACCCTCATGTAATGATAGGAGAGCACAGATGAAAATTGCTGACTGACCTCTACTATTATTTTGGAAATACTTATCATATCAGCTGTGATTTTTTCCCCTTCCTTTATTTATGAAGTCTCCCATTCATTATCTATTGCTGTGTAGCCTTGCTGGTTTTGCAGCGTGTGTGCACCAAGTCCTGCATAACAGCCAACACAGCAATGGGTGAGGGAGCGAGCAGCAGGGCACTGATTAAGGAGGTGTTCTGCTGGAAACATGGTATGCACTTGTGTGGATGTGTGCCTCAAAGTGAGATGTCCTCCCAGAGAAGCAGCATCAGTCTTACATCACCTCTGGAGACATCCCTGGCACAGACACAGTGGCATGCAGTGCTGCTGCCTGTGTCCTGCCGCTCCAACCGAGTAACCTGTGGGTGGCAGGGAGTGACAGGGAGCTGGCAAAGCTGCAAGCATGGCTGGGAATCTTTCCTAGCCACAGGCAGGATGCTTCAAAAGCCCCAGGACAGTGCCCCAGGGCAAGATACCATCTTACTCAGGAAAGCAGGTTCTCAGAAAGAGAGGGAGAGAGCTGCCATGAGCAAAGTGCTGTGGGGGGGAGGCAACAGGGGGAGAGTACAATGCAGTCCATCAGCAGTATGGAGAGAGTAGGAGAGGGGGATCTGGTGGGAAATGGAAACAGACAGGCTAGTTCACAGGAGAAGAGGAAGAAGAAAAAAACCAATGCTATCTTTGGGAGGATGATAGTGATGAAGGCTGGGAAGCTCAGAAAAGGTGAAGGAAGCATTCTCCCTCTTGCAAAGAAAGACTTGTGTCTAATATAAAAAGTCCAGGCTGTCTGTTATCAGCACCTTGAAAACGGTACATACTGATGAAGTAAAAATAAAAGCAGGTTTAATTTTAATCAACAAGGTGTTGGTAGGTAAATTAGTGCTTCTGCAGTGGTTTATGGATATCTGATCTCCCTGTTTAAATGGTACTTTCTCACCACATCCATCCCAGACTGAATCGCATTCTGCCTTATCCTCCAGAAGGAAAAGAGCACTGGGTTAAAAGCAATAGAGAACAGTTTGAATGCTGTAGCCTCCACAACCATGAGCTACCTGTAAAAAACTTTTAGGAAACTCCAAGTAAACAGTCTATGTATAATTGTGGAAGAAATATCTCTGACTGTTGCTGAACAGAGAATCATTTACTGCAAAAAGTTCTACAACACAAATCTTATAAAATTATTCTTAAAATTTAGTTTGACTAGAACAGAATTGTTTATAAACTTATGAAAAAGTGGTTAGATTGGTACTAATTCACATTCTTGCTATGTTGTTTATGTGTGTATGGACAATTATTTTGCCATAAAACTCTCTTCTATTGATTTTTCTTAAATAACATTTTACTATAACAGTTATCTTTACTGCATAATGGCATCCAAAAAAGGACTTGAACCAAATTAGTAATAACAAAACTAAAATAAAAACCTATACCATTAATTTGAATCACTGTGGTGTGTAGAAATTTTTTTGCAAATGTGCAGTTACTAAAACATATTCCTGCTCATGTGCAGTTACAATAGGATTGATACTACCTACCTAGAGCAGATGTCAAAGTGACTGGATAATCTGTTCTTCGAAACTAGTCCACCACAAGTGATTGCTTCTCTAGTATGCTCTTCTCATCTCTGTATGAGTGGTGAGAGAAAAGACAATATACCTGGGTATGCTGTTAGGGGTAACGTTCAAACAAGAAAATAATGTGTATATACTGCTTTAAATCCCATCCTATGAAAAAACTGCTGAGACCTCTAATTCTCATCACGACACCTTTGGGAGCTGTAGGTATCTTGAAAACAGTGCTGCATGTCACAGTAAGTGTCTAACAGCATGTGACTCAAAGCACTGTATTGCGAGGATAACGCAAGAAATAATTCACGTAGTTGATAATTTCCATTTCCATTTAACAAACAATCTGTTACCCTGATACAATTGTATCTGTGAAGATTCCATAAGCTTAAATTTGGAATGATACATGAATTTGAGACAAGCATTTGAAACAACAACTAAAGGAACTCACTGCACTATGGAGACATAAATATATCTGCATGGAAATACAGAATTAGTCTTAAATGGCAATGTATTTAAACAAAACAAAAATTGTAAAACTTTATGCAGATATAAATATTTTTACTCAGGATTTGGACAAGTAATCAAGTTCCTTGTGATGAAAATTTTATTTTTATTATTAGTATTGTCTATTATTTGCATTGTAAAATGCCTTCAGGGCCTGAACTAGAAGCTATGTTCCATCATAATGGATATTCAGCATGTAATGAAAAGGTAGCTTTCCCCTCCAAAGTGTTCTTGAGGTAAATTTATATTGCAGTCAGAAGACAGAAGTGACTACACGAAGCATGGAGATACCAGAGCCAGTTTTTAGTTTTAGGCATCTTGGTAACCTAGATCAAGGAATACCGGCCCGTTGAGGACTAGTTGCCCTTCCCTCACAGTGAATTTTACAAATGTCACAGAGAAAAAAGAAAAAAGTGAATCTTGAGGGGAAGAAAATAGACTAAGGAATAGGGGAAGCTAGTCATGGCATCTGATTTTGCATGTAAACAAATAGCTCAGGAGCACATATTGGGAAGGTTGTGAGGTTACTCCTGCGAGAAGAAAGGTTAGAGGTAAAAATGTAGAATTTGGGATTATACCCAGTCTAATACCAAAATCCCTGCTAGCGGTTAAGTGTGCTAATTTGTATGACATCTTTGTTGTATGCTTCTGGTGGAGAAACACACAGCTAGCATGCCTCGATGGCAGTAGGTTTTAATTGAGCATAATGTCTTTTGGAAAGTCACAGCATTTTCTTGGAAGGCAACAAGGGAAAACTGATAGTTTTGCTGTGTAACTGAGTTTCATAATGAAATGTCTTACAGCTAAGCCTCATTACTCTTAAACCTTTATTAAAAAAGCCTTTAAAGTGTATTACTTAATTGTATAATTTGAGGCTCTTGCTGCACAATTCCATATGAGTTCTATGTTTGGCCTCTCCTAGATGAGACAGCATTAGTACTTAGAAGTCAGGAATATGAAAATTAGGGTTGAATGGACCATTTTTCTTCCCTCCCACAAACACCTTGTGATGCAGTTTAATTATATTGTCCACTACTGTTGCTGTATTTTGACATTTTACAGATTCTCAATTAAACCACTTAACCTATGACATTGATAAGTCCACAAGTCAGAAGTCATTACATTATGTTGTTCTGTAGTTTGCTTCAAGATCCAAACATCAGTGAATGATTGAACAAAACTTCAGAAATGTTTTGGGTGAAGTGCTGCGATATTATGGGGTTTCAGGAAAAAAAAATCTGTGGCTAAAAACTAAATAAAGGAATTTTCAATTCACTGTGAATGGTAACTCATTTTCAAATGTTAATATATGGATTCTTTAACAGTGGATAGTTTTAAAGTTTTAATTGTGTCTTTCTTTTTCATTAATGATACATCATATCCATTCAAACTGAATTTTGAATCTATACTGACTGAAAAATTAGATTCATCACATCTGGAAGTGAGATGAAGAATGAAGAATTCAGTCTGGTTTCAAAAGATGAAGAGCATGTTAAAATCTCCAGTTATAAAGAAAAGGCATCTTTTTGTAGTGTCAGTACATTTGCTTTGACTAGATTTCCTCGTGACTTCTGCTGTGAGACTTTTGGTTTATGTACCTCTGAACTAATTTACCTTTCACAGGATGGGGCACTCCCAAGATGGAATGTGCTTCACAGGGAAAATATATCTGAGCAACAGGAACAAAAATAATAGTACAACAGCCACCAAGCTTTTCAGGCTCTTCAGGAAAATTCTGTGTAAATATATCAGGCAAATTTTTAGTGCCACTGACACAAATAAAAATTGTGTTTTGGCATTTAATGAGTCTAAAAGCTCATATGGGATGCCTCAGTATATACAAGTGTCCAAGAAATTTCAACCTTGAAGGACTCTTCTAGGTAAGGCTCAGATGTCTTTTCTGTATCTCCTTCAGTAATGATGCCACTGATGGATTTAAAATCCATTCATTCAGCTATTGTTCTCAGGCTACTTCTGTAATGTATCACAAAGTAAGAAAATTTCCTGGCCTGAGTCCTGCCAATATCACTTGGGGAAGTGAAGAGGACAGGAGAGGTGGAAAGAAAGAGAAGGCAGTTTTGTTAAGAAAGGAAATGAATGATTTATCTATATATCCTTCTCTTCTTCTGCATTTAAGCAAAATCTGAAAATTTTTCTTCATATTCAGTTGATCAATCTACCACTCTCATAATTAATTTAAAATGAATATAGATTTATATAGTCTGGCTTAACCTGTCCTGGCTATTAGCATGGTACCGCTGCCTTGGTTTTACATCAATTGCTACCACCTTTCATTAAATCAGTGAAAATATAACTTTTCTACATCAATAGAAATAATTCTGTATTTGTACTATAAGACTTTAAAAGTCAACCTGATCTAAAAAGAATATATTTCCTTAACAAAGTATTTATTTTGTATTTGTTAATTAATAATGTATTGATGGACATATCTTTCTGATGTAAGACATATTTACCCACATATAGTATAGGAGTTGATAATTATGAAGAATTTTCTGTTTACTTTATTGTTTCTGCGAGGCTTACGTGAAGTGATTAAAACATTGGTCTTGCAACATCCTTTTATATGAAAAGACCTCAAAATGGACAAAATGAAACACTTATTTTTCAGCATTTTTTGGTTGCATTAATTCTTTCCTATCAATCTTAGTATTCACATTAATGTACTTCCTGGTACTCCCCATTATGGACATCACTGTGACAGATGGGTAGAAAATACAGAACAAAATACAGAAACTCATTCTGCATAAAGTTTGAATATATAGAATTCGGCAATGCAGACATTCACTCTCCATGAGCTTGAAATCTAGGCATAAGATAGGCAATGACAGTCAAAGAGGCAGATATCTGAGGCGATATCAGAAACAGGTGACACCAGTCAGTATTGCAGGTAGTGAGTGTTTAAAGAAGCTGAGGAATAACTACAAATTGTGACTCAAGGTAAATAAACATGGTTTCAGTAATAATTGATATTCAAATAGAAAATAAATAGCAAGCATATGAGCATTTTAAGTCTATAATCCATAAAGGGTTCAGGTGATCCCATGACAGACAGCTCAGCTTTGCTCAGACAGTCACCCTGATGGATGCCAGCACTCTTGCTGCACCTAATAGAAATTACCTGGAAGCTCTCCAGGCATCCTCAGTCCTGGTCTGTGCCAGTGAAATGTTTGGGATTTTTCTTACACCCCACTTTTCTCTTACTAGAACTGTTCAATGAACCCTTCTGCACTAGCACACTTGTCTCTTATTTATATGCAATACCAACTCCACTCTACTACATACTGTGCATGCCTCCTTTGATACCAATCTTTTTCAGGCTTTTAAACACTTCCCACCAGTAAGCTCATATCTCCCAAGCCTTGATGGTACAAAGAGCCTATTAGAACTCTTTTCTCTTTTGTGTTTGGTGGACTTGCTTTACTATATGAAGTTATACCTAAACTACAGGGCTTTTTCACAGGGATTAGGTATTGAATAGAACTTCCCATAAACTATGCTGTGCCTCTTTTAAGAAATTTGAAGACAGCTCTGTGAAACATTTTTAAGGGAACATTGTATCATAGGAAAGTAGAGTTGTATGAGATTTCAGGCAACTCTGAGATTTATGAACATCTCTGAGAAGTCTGGACATGAGCATGCAAGGTTCAGGCAGACTTTCAGCAAAGAGTCAGAAGGCTCTCCACTGCCCAGCAGATTTGTGTGAAACCCCAGTCCACAGAGGACTCTCTCAAGCAACATGCAAATCAGTTTCTCACAGCCATCCCTGGTGGAGACAGGCTTTCAAGCATGGGGTTTTCTTGCAGAAGGATAGAAATGGATATCCTGAGGTGGGTCCATGATGCATAAATTTTGGTAGTTCATGGAAGGTGACAGTCTCACTCCAAGGGTGATCTGGAGCAGTAGCCATTAACAAGACAAACAGCTTAAGGAGACAAATCTCCTGAATAAGTATGTAGGTAAATTTGGATAGTGTCTATACACTGCATACTGTATGTTTTGGACTTCCTTCCCTGTGGAAATAGTGATAAATAAACTCCTGCCTCTTGTTGCTAGTGGAGGTGACATGAAATTTTAAAATGTTAGGTGAGGGTGGCAGATAATGGGAGAGAGCTGTGAGTTAATTAACTGGCATGTCTAAGAGAGCTGTGCCTGGAGGCCACTGCCAGGACTGGCAACTCTGTGTGCAGAGCACTGTTCAAGCACTTAGAAAGAAATAGCCATCAGCCCAAAGAATCTGCCATCCAAATAGGCAAGAAAGTTGAGAAGAACAGAGAAATGTGGACGGGTATACTATTTCTGAGAATTGCTTCAGTTGCTTACTCCCATACTCAGCAAAACCGGAGGAAAAATCTTAAACAACCCTCTCATTCAGCCAGAGCCCTCAGCAGATACTTTTCAGTGCAATTCTAAAATTTTTTCAACAGCCGTCAGGCAGCAAACGCTTTTAATGAGAGGATGTTGAGTACCTCATGTATGTTCCCAAGTTCCTAAACTACAGTTATCAGTTATCCTAGCAGAAACTGTAATTCTG